TCCTTTTGAAGAAATGATTGAAAATGCACAAGTGTGAGAAATACAAGGCTGAGAACAGCATTCTGCATGTTGTGTAAATAAACTGACCCTTTACAAGTCATGGAAATAATGCCTGTGGGTGAGTCTGCAATGGCAGAGGTGTGCAAACTCATGCATGCAGGTTTCACAATTGCAAAAGAATAACTCCAAATAAATGCTACATGGACATGACTTCCCTTTGGGACTGCACTGTAGCAAGCTAGATTTACTGAGCCACCTCAGTAAACCCAAGGGAAAACACACCAGATGATACCATCACCCAAATATGAGGGTTCAGGAGCTCTGCTTCATGCTTGATGCTGCTGCTGGTTGACAATTTCAAGGTGTTTCTATCTGCACAACCTATCTTCACCCCTCTCAGCTAATGATTGCCTGGATGTGGATCAGACTATGTCTTTACTTAAAACCCCACCATGATTTCAGGATGGATAGCAGTCTCTTGTTTACTGGAAATTCTTTTTGAAGTTTGGGTGTAAGCATCCTTAGACCATGTGCTTAGCAAGTTGAGGGGAAATGAGATTGTTTGAAGTAAATATAGGAAACCAATTTGTCAGTCGAAGATTCAGTTGGTATTGAAGCCCATATGTTATGGGTAAACAGGAATGAGTCAGGGTTTGCTGTACAAAGTGCTGGAAGGCACAGCAGTGTCCCCAAGTTCAGTTTCTGGTTTGCTTCCCTCATTCTACCAAGCTTGAGAGTGGATTCTCAGCATTCAAGCACATAGGGTTTGAACTAGCGTAGAAATCTGTAAAAACTTCTGTTAACTGGGGAGTGAAAAGACAAAGAAATGTTTTTTGGCAAAATGCAGTTCTAAATATATGCTTAAATAAACAAAGAAGCCAGAAAAATAACAACAAAGAGAAATGTAATGACAATATTGTGTTTTGTTCCAGTGGCACTGCCTCAGTCTCAAAGATAGGAGTAAAATTTGCAGAGTAGAAGGGTCACTGAAGACAGTGGTCTTCCTGGTCTTCATCCCCAGAGGTGCAGATTGGGTGCCCTGCCCTCTAAGCCAGATGAATTCAGGATAGCACCTGAATCCTGGTGGAGGCTGAGACCAGGACCCAGGAACTGAGGCCCCCAGGGCTGAGGAATCAGAGTTTTTGCTGCGTCCTGGCTGCTCTGCCTTCCCTTGCCTGCAGGGCTGCAGCATGGATGAGGTGGGGGAAAAGGGTGAAAGGCAGGCAGTGCTAGGCTCCTGTGCAAGCTGCACACTCCCTGTGCTGCCTGAAAGCAGGAAGATTCAGGTCTTCCTTGCTGGAAAAATAGACACTGAAGCAAATCACTTGTTGTCCTATGGCAGTAGCAGACACAGGTCAGCACGGTGGCTTTTATTGTAGGAAGGGCAGGGACACCCACCACAGCAGGATCCTCATGGATTTATGTATTGTAATTTTTAGAAGTTAGTTGTGAGCGATGTGTTGGCTTGCTGAATACCAAGCCTCCTTATTTTATATTTATAGTGATATTTGAAGTGTCTGTATTGTGCATAACTTTCAGTATATATAATGAAATTAAATCATCCATGTTCACATACCTATTCAAGAAATTAGCCACAATTAAATATTAACTTATTTGAATAAAAGGAATATTGAATAGAACACCATAAATAATGCAATGGAATGGAAAAATGGAAAAAACACCAAAAAGGCTCCCCCCCAGGTTCAGTGCTCTGCTCTCCAGGAGCTCCTCTCTTCTGTCCTCACCTGCTATTCAGGCCTGGGTCTTTTAATTGCTGGGTGGAGAGAGGGCCAGGCTATGAGCTCTTCTATCATCTCAGGTAGCATCCAGGACATGGCCTAGGACATGGCCTTCTTTCAGCATTTTCTGTGAGTATAATTGTATAATTGACTGAGAAGCTCTGCTGTGGTACATTCATGGTTTCTAACTATGCACACTCCTAACTGAATAAGAAGAGATCACGGGTATCTCTCAATCTCATTTTTATAATGAGGCCATAGAATTGGAATTTCCAGGTTAAATGTATATAAATTGAATTTCTTGATCATAAAATTCACACTAAAACTCAGCATAGAGTTGGAGCCTTGAAGGGGAATCCCAGGGCTCCTCAGATCTCTGTGGATATTCGAAGTAGGAGGAAGATGGACCATGCAGATGTGGAGGACACCACAGCATCTAGTAGTGTACCATGGGGAAGAAAGTCTTAGGTCAGGATTCCTCATCCATCAGTCAGCTTCTCAGCAAACAGCCTACACTGCATGCAAGAAAAGAGAGGGCTGTTGTGGCCCTGCTGTCCAAGTTCGTCCCTGCAGTCATGAGTCCCCATGTCTCACTCACAGGAACTCTGTACAAGAAGATAAGCATGTTTCAGAGCCTACCTTGACTGAATGTCTTCCACCCAGGTGAGATCTCAACCACCACATGTGAATTCACCACAGCTGTGGAGCAAGACAGGTGTTTACAGGCAGCAGGTCAGGAGGTGGGAACACTGCAGGCAGGTAAGGGTACATAGCCTGAAATAAGAGACCTGGCCCTACCCTTCCCCAGTGTCCTTCAGGAGTAACTGCACCTGCAACAATGTGCTTTAAAAGACTAAATAACTTAACAGAGTACTCACAAAAATATATACTGTAGGGCAAGTTTGAATATACAAAAGCAAATTGCTACATCCCTAAGTAAAATGTAACGTGATCATTAATCAGTACATGATCTCCTATGGTGTCCCTGACCCACACCCTCAGAAAAAAACACACCATTTCACATAGCATTAACAAACACGGGCAATGAGTCAACAATCATAACTGCTTAATAACAACAACAAATGCCAGAATATGATAAATGCCCAGCTGACTGGTATGAAGTGTATAGTAAAGAATAAATACTGAATCTGGCCATGTTGGGACTTAGGCAGCTGAACAAGAAAACAATTCTCCTGCCTTCCTGGAAAGCACCCCTGATGCAAGCCAGGAGGAGAACCAGTCAGCATCTCCGGTGAGCCTACTGGTGCATGGACTGAGAGCCATACATCTCACTTGACCACCCTTGGTTAGCAAGGAGAGGCAGAATTCTGAGCATCTCTTGGGAAGATGACTGTGTGTAATATAGAAAATATGGGGGATTTCCATTTATCTTGTGTTTGAAAACAAATGTTGTCTTTAATTTTTTGCTGCGTTCTGATTAATTGTTTTGCTCTATTCAATATTATCTTTTGACTGGTTTTAAAATGTTCTGTGTTTGTTTGGATTTCACAATAACTAATTGAATGGAAACGAATTGTGAAGATGAGATATACTATGGTACCTATTACTGTTATCACGGACCATGCTGTGAAATTCTGTACCAGTTTCACTGCATTGTCTCGATGTGCTTTGTTCTGTTTGCTCTGTTGTATTTTACTATCTTCAAAATAAAATTTTGAAAAAGAATAAATACTAATCAGTTTTCATGTCTTTCAAGGGAAGGGAACCACCACCAATTCCTTTCAGATGATGAAGTCACCCTGAAAATGAAGACAGACCATAATGCTCAAAAAAATGGTAATGCTCTAATGGCAAATATTCTTAATGAACATACACAAAAATATTCAACTAAATGCTCATCAGCTAAATTCACCAGCACTTGCAAAATTTAAATACCACAATAAACACTGGGTTCACCCTCAGTGGTGCTAGAATGGTTCCACTTGCACAAATCATTCAGTGTCACTTGCCACATTCACAACATGAGGCACAACTAACCCCTCAAGAGATTTGGAAAAATCACATTGAGAAATTCAAAAGTTCACCATCATTTCATGATAAGAACCATTCACACAGCATGTGCAGGAGGAATGAATCTCAGCACAGCAAAGAACAGACATGACAAGCGCATCACTGACATCATGCTCAGAGGCTGACAAGCTGCAAGATTGGCTTCTCAGGTCAGGAACAAGACCAGGCTTTGGACTCTTTTCAATACACTACTTGAAGTCCTAGTCCTAGAATTGAGTCAACAATAAGAACCCAAAAGTTTACCAAATCAGAAAGGAAGAATTAAGAGGTGTCTCTGTTTTCTGAGGACACAACATTTCATATAAGAAACTTAAACCTACACTGAAAAACTTTTAGAACAAATGGAAAAATAACTTCAGTTTCAAGGTACAATATCCTTATGTCATAATCAATTCATATCTATGTGCTTCAAACAAACTGCAGCCCCAAATACAAGGAACACAATTCATTTCATAATTCATCCAAAAGAATTAATACTTATGTAAAATTTGAACCAAACTCACCTCTTCTTGGAAAATTGTAGAAATTGAGCAATGAGTGAAGTGGCACTAAGAGAAGAAAAGACAGACTGTGGTGGTGGATGGGAAGAATTCATGTTGTTATAATGTACATGCTACCCAGAGCAACCAGGTGTTTAAATGCCATTCCTCTCAAAATATCAGTGCCATTTTCTTAGAAATAGAAAAACAAAGTGAAAATGCACAGGGAAGGACAAAGAATCATCCTATAGCCATGGAAAAAACATTAAAGTTAGAGGCAATAAAAACATAGTTTTCTGGTATATAATAAAGTGACAACAGTCCAAAGGGTCCTATACTGCAAGAATTGGACACAGATTAAAAAGGCCAGCCCAGTAGAGAAAAACTCATACAGTCACCAGGAATTCTGTTTTGTTTCTCCTTTTTCCTTTCCTTCCCTCCCCTCCCCCTCCCCTTCCACTTTCATTCATTTCCCTTTCCTTTAGATTTCTTTCTTTTTCTTTTTCAGTTTTTGGTCAAGTTTTTCCTCCGGCCTAAGCTGAACTCAGAGTCTGTTGCAGGCTTGTCTGGAACTCCCAGGAATCCTGCTGCCTCAGCCTCCTGAGTGCAGGCATTGCAGGCATTTTCAACATTCCATGCTCAGCCAATGAGTTTTTAACAACACTATGATGAAACCAGGTCTGGTGGAGTGTCTGGTAATGCCAGCATTCTGGAAGGCTGAGGCAGCAATATCACAAATTTAAGGAGAGCCTCAGCAGTATAGCCACTTCTCCAGAACCTGGAAGAAAATAAAAAGAATTTGAAATGTGGAAGGCCATGGAGCTAAGTGCAAATCTCTATATTCAATCCATAGAAACTGAATGCAAAACAAAAAACTTGGGAAGTCCAACAGTAGAAAAAACAGTATTTTACACTGTCCTGGCTTTCTGGAGGGCAGTGTACCCCAAGTGGCATTAGCTTTCACACTTTTTGTGTGGTTTGACTTCAAAAAATCATCAAAATCCATGAGGGATAAAAAAATAAACAGAAATTGCTTCAAGGATATCAAGTCTCAGTCCCAGTGCTAAAGGCATTTGCAGTGATATTCTGAAGCACATGATGACCACAGTTACAAAACAGAGAATCTACAAACAGTATTAATGGGATTTTCAATCTTAGTTACTTTGAAAAAACTGCCATTTAGGAGGTTGATATATAGCTTAACTAGATACACTCTTTCTGCAAAATGTCTAAAGATCAGAGCCAAATATTTCATTCTATGAATGCACAAAATTACTGCTGATTACCAACTCAAGATAATGTACATTTGCAATCCTAGCACTCTGGGAGAGGGAGGGAGATTGAATAAGGAAAGGCTTAAGCCTCACCTGGGAAACTCACAATCTTAGTGGGATCATGCCTTAAAATTTGTAAAAAGATTAACAAATTTTACAAATCCATGAAAATATGGATCATTAAGAAATCTTTGCGCACAATACAGTAGCCAATGTTATTCTCTCATTATTCTTCTGCATTTTATTCTTTTACAGACTTAACAATACCATCTTTTATGTGGACCTTATTAATATGTACTTGAGTTACATTAAAATAAGACAAGAAAGTCTTTCCAAAAACAGTAATCCTTTGCTTAAATCCTACTTCCATATATAAAGTTACTACTAAAATAAAAAAGTACCATCAATTCTCTTTATACGATGCTCTCCAAAACCTAAGAGTGTATATTCAATAGCATATCTACATTCATCTCAGTTAAAAGGTCAAAAAAGTTGAAACAGTTCAAATTCTTGGCAGTAGATCAATGACTACCTCATGGTAAACCTAATGTTCAGTGTGCTGACTAAAGTACATATTTAAGAAAAATTCAAGATTTGAATTGTCGATTTATAGGTGATTTTTGTGTCTTTTAAACCCTTTTTTAATGTATTATTTATTTCAATTTATTTATTTATTTTTGAGACAGGATTTTTCTATGAAGTTTAGGCTTTCATTGAAATCACATTGTAGCACAGGCTGATGTCAACTCACAGCAATCTTACTGCCTCAGCCTTGTAACTTCTGGCATTAGAGATGTTTACTACCAAACCTGGTTCTCATTTACTTTTTAAATTTTTTCCAAAATTAAATTACCCAAGATTATGTGATATGTCATAGTTTATCAGGTGAGTTATACAAAATGAAATCAGAAAGCACTGAAAATGCACTGAAGGAGACTCAAAATCCTCCCCAACAGTAAACATAGTGTAACATAACATAACATAACATAACATAACATAACATAACATAACATATTATAGCATAAAAAACACAATAAAACAAAGCAAAACAAAATAAGAAAACAGGGTTGGAGATTTAGTTCAGTAGTATAAGTACCCTCTTGGCAAACTTGAGGTCATAAGTTCAATCCTCAGAACCAAAAAGAAAACAACCACCTAACTCTGATTTTAAAAAATGCTTGCAAGTGTACCTTAACAGCTTGTAAGCTAATCATAAACAAGACATATAATCTGACAATTTCACATCTAAGTACTTTTTCTTTGAAATAAAAGTCTATGTCCACTCAAGACCATGTATATGAATGGCTGTGGCAGCTGGCTTTCCAGGGCCAACCCAGAAACAGAACAAATGGGATCAGTAGATGGGTGACAGATGCATGAACAAGTTGTAGTTGGCGGGTTCAGCCCCATGAGAGTGTGTGGTGGCTCCACTACCAATAAGCAGCAGTATGTGGAGAGCCCAGCACAGAGACGCTGCTTAAAGGAGACCAACCAAGAGCATTGAAAGTGAACAGGCTCAGCACCATCACCTCTAGGACAGGCAAACTACCCAGCAGGGACACAAAGCCCATGGTCTCTTTGGGATGGGAGAACAGGAAGTGAAAACAGTGACTAGGACACAAATTCCCCAGGAGGGAATCCCACGTGTCCTCATCAGCACGGGGTGAAGATGTCCATGGCCTTGCAAAGTCTCCCCTTGCCCTCACCACCTGCTGTCCCTCCTCAAAGGAGGTCAGAGTACGGAGCCTACAGTGTGTGGCTGAGGTAAACATAAGTAAAACTTGCTATGGATCCTCCTTTCCTAGACACATGGGTGTTATAACATGAAACAGTTCATGTCCTTTAAGGAAAATTATTGTGGGCATTATGGGAACATCTCCATGCTCCTTAATGATAATGAAATGAAACTAACATAAGTCCATAAAAGACAGTCAAAATTAAATTTGAGAAATCTCTAAATGAAGAAACTGTGAACCTCATCCTCAAGGGAAAGGATCTTTTGAATGGAAAGGTCTAAAAATACACACATTGCGCTAGTTTTTTTAACTTACTGTTTCTAAGGAGGACACAGATTAGCTCACAATAAAAAGAAAGGAGGCATCAGAGGGGGAGCCTCAACTGTGGACCCCAGCATATGACCTCACTTCCTTGGTGATATGTCCAAACAGAACTCTGAAGACTCTGGTCACCAGGCACTGTGGTCTGGTGATAGTTGGCCTTCATAGATGGCTGGCTCAAGGGAGTGAACAAGGAACATGCTATGCTGCTTTCCCAGGGCTAGTGGCCCAAGCATACGGACCCCGTGTCAGGGAACCACGTGGGAACATATGGAGAGGATGGTTCACATGGTCCAGATGCTTCAGGAAGCTCAACTGGAAACACCCAGCTGTCAGCAACCCAGGCCAGGACTCATTGGCACACAGAGGTGCCCAGAGGCACCCAGAGACAAGAGGAAGCCCAGAACACATATCCCTAGGCTCAACCACCAGCCATTCAGAGACACTGAGTCCAGGAGTAGTTCAGATACAGGCAAGTTAAGTTCTCACCTGAGCAGCCCCGTGAGACTTGGCCACCTGTGTATTCAAGTCCTGGCCATGTGCAAGCACATCCTTCTCATTTTACAACACTGAACTGTGGGGTGCTGAGTGGATCCAGAGTGCAGGGTCACTGAGGATGAAATGGGGACTCCATGGCAAGGGATTAGCTGTGGCCTTGGCCCCATGAAGACCTGCTAAGGAGGCTGTCCTGATTCCCAGGGATGACCTTCCACCCACCTCACTGACTCACACACATGGGAAAACTGTTCTGTTCTTTGGAAAGGAGATAGGAGAGTCACTCTACGGGTTTCAAGGTATGCTCAGGGCAGGAATTCTTAGGAATGGAAAAGTGTCCATGGGCCCCAGGCATCACTTGGAAGTGGGTGGTTGTCATCAAGCCAAAATACACATGAAGACACCCTGTGTGAAGACACTTTTCTGAGTATTGTCCATGATCTTGTAAGCAGAACAGGTGCAACCACTGCCCTTTTGAGTTTTGACATTCTTTGAAGGCCACAGAGTCAGCATTGGCAGCAGAACAGATATTGTTCACCTCAAGGAAGTCTTTCTATGTCCAAGGCCAACCTTAGAAGTGGTTACAGACCATGTAGGAGGAGTTCTACAGAGACTAAGAGAACTGGGCAGCAGATCTTTGCCTGACCTATACACTGCAGAAAGGCAGGATAGACATTGATGATTCCTCACTTCTCAGATATTCATGGAGCACCAGCCCTGAGCCCTTGAGTGCAAGGACATGGCAGATATCAGTCTTTGCCTTTGTTGAGCTGACCTGCAGTGGGGAAGGGCAGGGAGAATCTGTGTCATGCTTCCCTAAAGAAGGGAGTGGTATCACACCACTAAGCAAGGACTGCCTCAAATGGAGCATTCTGTCAGCCTCTCAGGGATCCCAAGGCCCACACTGCCACACTGTAGTTGGAAGAGGGTGGGAGTGGACACTGAACTTGCTAGACTAGAGACCCATGTGCCCCTCACTAAGGTAACCTGTGTAGGTAGTGTTTAGAAGAGAGGCCAGAACTCTCCCTTTGCTACTGCCCTGTTTGCTCCAGGTCCGAATCTCCAGTCCTTGACTCCTCACTGGAGCTGAACTCCAAGGTGGCTTCCCAGGCCAAGCTTCTCATGGACCAGCTTGAGCCTCCTAAGTCCCTGGTGCCTAAGTCACAGGGTAAGGAGCCCTGGAATGTGGGTTGTGGCTCTGAGAGGAGGAATGTGCTAGGGAACTCAGCAATGTGCCCAGATGATGGGAGACACAGGAACATGATCACCTCAGCAGTCAGTGTGGGGATGCAGTCTGGGAGGCTTTAATGGGGCTGTTTTCATTCACACAGCTGCCTCTGACAGGCAGTGGGAGGTTTGTTCCTGAGAAGTCCCTGGAAAGTCAGTGATGTTTTCTTCTCCTGCAACTGCAGGGGCAATTCCAGTACATGCTGAATTTGCACCCGCAGAGCTCGTGCCAGCTCCACCTGCTGCTCCATCACCAGCGCTGACCCCACAGTAAAAGCAGGCACATGTTTCCTTTCTCTACCAGCTGCATAGCTGGATCTCCTGGTGGCTCCCCAGCAGGAGTCATCTCTTGACCTCTACCTGCAGGCAGCTCTTGACCCACACCTGCCATTCTCCTCTCTTCCAGATTTACATATCATTCTATTTATTATTATTCTATTCTGGGATGTGAGTGATAGAATTATTGTAAATGAAATTTAAGGGTTTATTCTTGTTTCAGTTGATGAGTTTGGTAGGATTTAGTGCATTCTCCATATTGTGAAACCTTCACCAGTGTCCTCTTCCAGAACATTTTCATCAACTCACTACACAAATATATTTTCTTTTATTTTCCTTCCTATTAGATCCTGGCCAACACTCATCCTATGTCCTTGTAATTCAGGTTTCCTACCTTTTATGCATCACTGCAGTTGTGTTTCTCCTCTGCCTTACCCTGCTGTAAGTAA